CGGCTGCAAGAACAGGCAGGTGCCCCTGGAACAGGGGGCTTTACCTGATGAGGAGGAGCCTGTCCTTCTCAGAGGGATGATCATCCAGCCACTGGGAGAAGCGCGCGTGGGACCATTCCGCCCTCTGCGGGGTGGGAAGACAGTCAGGGGAGAGAGAGCATCCCGTTCTTTGTCCCTCATGCCCCGCCACGCTGGTGCGGGGACTCGCGGGGACTCCCGGGGACAAGGACCCCAGACACTGCCGGAAGGGAGGCGGCCCAGCCCTCCCTGACTCCCAGGGAGCCTCGTGCATTTGCCAACTGAAGGTGGGTCAGCCAAGGAAACGAGGCCTCCGTCAGAAAAGATTTATGAACATACATTTCTAGTGTCACTGTTATTGAGTGGGCTCATTCTAGATGCATCAGGTAATCTTGACTCTGCAGAGAAAGTAAGGGCTGGGCAGGGGGAATTTTCCTCCCTAATCATTCACTGCCTAGACACAGATCCACGACTAAATAAGGCAAGAGAAGGCCAGGCACCTTCAGTGAGCGGGGCCGCACTCGAAGGGTTAAGGAGAAAGATGGGAAAGAGGGTTCTAGCTTCACTGCATTACCTGGAAGGGGGATTTCAGCTCAGCAGGTGCTCTTGTGAACAAAAACTGAATGACGACACTGAATGGAATAATGTCCCCCAGCGCAGGGCTGCTGGCCACGTGTTCACTTGTCTGGAAGAGCAGTGGTCTAAAGGGAGGGAAAGCAGAAGTTATTTCATGCTGCTCAACACGGAAAGTGGCGATTTTGTAAAAGAATCATAATAGCATATTAGTACAATATAATTGCACAGCAGCGTAACAGCATAGTGTGTGGCAGACGAATGAATAGTGGCAGTCTGCTGAGACTGTCTGATTCTTAACCATTTCTTAACCCCCTAATTCAGCCCAGACGCTTGTGCGCGTGTGCACACACACGCACGCAGGTTGACCTGCCCTTCAGCTCCATCCTTGACACCCAGCTCACTGCCTTTGGGTCTGAACTGACTTCAAGGTAACACAGCAGAATCCCCTGAGGTTTTAGGGAGGTCGTAAAGGCTCAGATTAAAGCACATAGTGAAAGCCTTCAAGTAGTAAGAAGTAACAGATTCCTATGGTGGTTGAAACTTTCAGCTTTCATTTTACACTAAATCCTTCCTTGGGCTATAATCTAATGTGGGTAAATTCAAACATTTTCTACGCAACTTTTCAAAGGGCAGTTATGTCCTTGTATATGAAATTACTGCCTCAGTGAACATTCTCCCCTTCTAATATCACTGTGTGTCTGGGTGTCACCACCCATGACATGCACACCTCATTTTATTGTGCTTCGCAGGTATGGTGTTTTTTTCCCCCCACAAACTGAAGGTTTTGTGGCAACCTGGCATTGTCAGATGATAGCATTTTTTAGCCATAAAGTATTTTTAAACTAAGCTATGTGCAAATTTTTTTTTCAGACATAATGAATGCTACTGCACATTTAATAGATTATAGTGTAAACATAATTTTTACATGCACTGGGAAATCAAAAACTCATATGCCTTGCTTTACTGTGATAGCCGCTTTATTATAGTGGTTTGGAACCAAACCCGTAATATCTCTGGGGTACTTCTGCATTTTACAGGGGCCTGAGGCAGATTTGCCCATTACCAATCCCCTACCGCCTATTCAAAAGGCTGGCAAGAAGAATCTGAAACTTTTATCTACCACTCCCTGGCTTTAGGCTCGGATGGACAAGAGTTAATTCCAGGCCAAGCTGCAGAGGCTGAATCTCGAGGTGGGATGGGAGCAGCGTCTCCTGACAGAGCAGCGTGTAAATTGGCTCTGTCCCTCCCTCACCCAGGTTACTTCCTCGTGTGCAGCTGGAGACAGACCAGATGGTGGGACGACGTGACGTCAGGAGCCAGAGTGCTCTCCAGACAGCTGCTTCTGGCTGGATCCAGAGTACTGTAAGAATGTCTTCATATTAAATATTCTATAAGTGAAATTTATCCCTGGTAGAGATTGTTCTAATTTCAATTGTTTTGTAAAATAACATTATTCTGTAATTTATTTTCTTTAGATCCTGGGGAAACACTTCAGTTCATTCGTGTTGCCTGTGACCAGAAATCCATCAAGCCCCACCACAGGCACTCCGTGGGAGCGTGTGGCCCTGTGCAGTGCACTGGCCTTTTCAGGACCCATCTCACGGAGTTCCACGCTGCAGAGCCGTGGGCACTGAGTCCAGCACCCAATCAGGTATGAAAACACTACTGAGAGAATTTTGGGTTGGCCTGCGGGCACCTTTGCATGAGGATGAGCCGGTCTGTCTCCAACTAGCCAAGCTCCTAGTTTTAACAACAGCAGTAAGAGCGACCACATACAGCACTTAGAACATGCCAGGCACTGTTTTAAGAACTTTATAAATGTGAACTCATTTATTTCTCCACACAACCTATGAGATAGGCACTGTTCCGCCTCCCCCCCCCATTTTACAGACAGGTAAACTAGGGGGAGGAGCGATCAAGTACAAGCTAAGAAGGGGCAGAGCACGGACTCCAACCTGGAAAGCCTGGCTCTAAACTTTGCCAGGCAGCCTCTTGTAGGATATCAGCTGTAGCAACCACTCATCCTGTCTACAACAGACAGACTGATTCTCAGAGAGAAACAGAGAGCCCTGGAGAACATACAACCTCAAACTGTCAACAACTCCCACAGAAAAACCTATCTGAGAAAATGAATGTTTCCAGGACACTACCTGAAGGTACCCTAGATTGTCGCCATGAGTCAAAGACCACTAGTCACCCACATACTTGAACCACGTTATCACAGCCTCTCTTGGAATCACCTTCATCTGGCGGGACCTGAAGGTCCTGTGGGCAGTGAGCGGCGCTGTCAGAGGCCCCTGGCAGCTGACTCTGGGTGGTAACGGGACGAGGCTGTCCCCCGCCGGCTCCACCTCCCACAGGCTGGGGCCCTGATGCCCTGGCAGGGGAAGCGGAACAGCTCACAGCCCCAGGTTCCTGGGTGCTGAGCAGCCGGCTCCCCAAGCAGCCCTGGAGACCCAGTCCAGCCGGAGGCCAGGCCGTCCCTCGACAGGGCTGCTGGAAGAGGGCAGAGAGGCCGTGGGGAGGCGGCTCCTCCCCCTGGGTCACAGGCTCCCACTGCAGGCCTGGCATGCCCTAAAGGCCACTGGGAGGGACATGGGGAGACAGGGGAGCTCCTGCCCACACTTCTGTCCCGGCTGTCCTGGTCCTGTGAGAATCCCCCTTCCCCAGAAAAGCCGACTCTTGGCCTGTGGCATGCGCCATGGCAGGATTCATCCTAGCCCTGGTTTGTGATGCGAGGAGATGGGGGTCAGTCCTGTATGACAGACAGTCCTCAACTTACTGAAGAGCAGCCCGATGGAACCCCTTCTGCCTCTAATACACAAAGGTGACCAAGAGTTATGGTCCCACATCTCTCAGTGCTCCTGACATGAGGTCCCGTGCACGGATGCTGTACAGGTCAGTACTGAGAAACACTGAACTTTCTCCTAAGAACCGATCTATTTCCTCCCTCCTGAAGGAAGGAGGAAAACAAGACTTACACAGCTGATTCTGTTTCTCTTTTATCTTTGGCTTCAGGACCTTTAAAGTCAAATTTGAAATTTATCTACAGCAATTAATTAGTTTTATGGTTTTAATATTTGTGTTTTTCTTTATTTTCCTTCAATATAGTCTTGATGCAAACTGCAAACAATACAAGGGCAGAAAGGGAGGAAGGACAGGAAAGAGGGAGGGAGACAGGGAGAGAGGAAGGATCTGTAACATGCCACGTCCAGCAGCCCAACCGAGCTACACACCAAGGCTGCTGAGTGTGACGCCCGCACAGGGCAGGCCTGATAGAAACCAGCTCACTTTGAAGTGGGATCTTTTGGTCAGTCACCTGTCCCTTTGGAGCTCTGAGTCACAGCTGTTATTTTCCTGACAAGACCAAATCTTCCACTCTAGCTACCAACAGGACTGCCAAAGAAGCCAGGGAAAGCAAAACTGGATTTGATTCCACATTATGCATCACTGGCATAATTACCTGTAAACATCAAAAGCAGACATTTTGTTTCTGATGCCTGTTTTAACAGTCTGAAAGAGCACAGCATGAGAACCTCCCTCCTCCCTGATTCCAGGTGGAATCTGAAATACCAGCAGTTAAAAAAGAAGTCACCATCTGAGGTGATATGGTGAACAAAAAGAAGCTAATTAAGGGGTTATAAAATGCAGATACCCCAAATGCCACAATATCATTCTCAGAGAAAGAAACTCTAACCAACAGCACTTTCAAAATTAACTTTATAGGCAGCTGGTAGTCTTAATTAATCAAGTCTTAGGTCCCATTAGACAGAAGTATTTCTGGCCCGGGCTCTCCACATTTAAGTGACTCACAGCTGTGTAGCTGTCAGTCTTCTGTTGAGGCCGATTACGAAGTGAATTAAGACCACAGTCCTGCTGTTCCCGCATCCACAGACAGCATCAGGGGTGCTCTGTGCCACCTGCCGCCACCCTGACTCCAAACCTCCTCTTGGTGAGGGGCCTGGGAAGGCGGCAACAGCACTGAGATCTGGAAGCAGCATAGAAATCAAACAGGATTCCTCCCTGCACTGGACAGAGTGAGGGCTTCTGAAAGGTGGGAAGAGGTAAGTGTGGGAGGCCTGCAGGAGGTGAGGGCCTCGGTGGAGATGCTTTACAGAAGCCCCGACATCATGGCAGGAGGGCCATGTGTGTCCCAGAAGAGAATGGCATGGCCCAGGAGGCTGATGACTGGGGGTGAGTCAGGACTGAAAGCAGAGAGGTGAGCGGTCCTCCAGTTCCCTGTCTTAGAGCCCAGGGGACCAGGACGGAGAGGAGGCAGGATTCAGGCACGTGCTCTCTAGCGATAAAAGTGCACATTTGCCTCGAGATTCCCGAGGCATCTCCTGGAAGCCTGTCTGCAGCACAAGACAGGGAGATGAGCCATTTCATAGCAGGAGGCCACCATCAAAGTGGGGAGTTTAAATTCTCTTTAACATTTTCTGACATTTCCCTGGAGGATTCACGCAAGCAGTCACAGGGTGTTCTAGGACCGGTCAGAGTGAAAACAAATTAGGATTTCTGGACTAGGACGTGGTCGGGCAGCGGCGGGTCTGAAATGCAGCTCTGCAACCCTCACATGATGTCAGGCAACCCTGGCGACTCGCCCCCCAGCCCCTGACTTCACAGCATCATCCCCGACTCTCAACCCGGTCGTGAGGGCGAAGCGAGAAAATATCAGTACAACACTCGACACAGGCTTGTTAGCATATAGTAAATGCTCAAATCATGGCGGCTAGAATAAAACCAACAATAAACGACATGTCCAGCCCTCTACGTTTGCCCAGGGACTCCGAGCACGGCTAGAGAAGTGGCAGACAGCACAGCAAAGCAAGCCCCACACGTGGCCGCCCTGTGGCTTCAACACTGCCACCAGACACTTGGAATCAAGAATCTAGAGACCCTGGGGAAACAGTTATTGCAGAGGATGGAGTAAGTGGGAAGAATGGAGCACATCTGGGGGTCCACTGCTAAAGGTACTAAAAACGGCAGCGGCAGAGATGATGGCATGGCCCGCGCAGGTTTCAGGCGGCAGGTGATCACGGGTGTGAGCGGCAGACGTGGAAAACCCTCACCACTCTGACAGTGACACACAGTTGGTGCGAACACACACTCTAGCGTCGCTGATGGCCTTCCTTCTCCCAGCACCCCTCGTGCTAACAGAAGCATCAGAGCAGCCCACGTCTCCTGACAGCTCTCAGGGCTCTTTCATTAAACCTGAGGACGCCCCTCCCAGCAGGGCAGGTGGGGGGGGCAACATTCGGGGAAGAGCCTGTTCCCTCGGGAGCCAGGGCTTGGGGCCTGGCTGAAGGCAAGGGCCTGTGTCCCTGAGCCGTGAAAGGCATGTGGCTCTGTCTGTCCCTGGTTTTCCTGCACCAAGGCCGTCCAGGGTCGGAGCTCTCAGGCGCCTGGCCAGGTGGAGCAAAGGTAACTACCCTTACAGACACCACTGGGGGACACTGCAAGGCTGCAGAGGGACGGACAAGATGGGGCCTCGCAGCTCCGCCGCGGGTGTCTCGTGTATAAACATCAACCACCCAGGAGCAAACCCCTCATGTCAGCCGCTTTCTGAGGCAGCATGCTCT